ACTTGCCTGCCCACAAACAGTAACATTTCCGTGTGGTTAACATCATGTTGAGAAGACGCTGTATCCTAAGCTGTGAGAGTAAATGTGTTTTATCACATCTTATAATTACCCCAAACTTGTTAACACTTGACACTTACCACTGAGAAACGTCCTGCTCCAGTCGTGCTTGCGAATCAGTCTCTCGTTGATCAACCACTTCAACCATTTCAATTGAACCATACAATCATCGATACCATCTTTTCTATGTATTGACAAGTCTCCAGGGCTGTCATTCCGTCATGGCAATGGGCGTTTCGTTTCCGACACGCGTTGTACGCGGTAGACCAATCCATCTCTCTACGACTCAGTCTGGACCAATCACAAAGGACTGCACCATCTGACCAATCACAGCAGTGAGGGCTCACGGAAAGGAGGGGTTTAGAGAGACTGATTCTTTGAACCGCTTCGTACGAGTCGTTTACGAATCATTTAGAAATGAGGTAAAATTAAATCTATTTTTTGAGAAAACTTGCGTGTTTTTTGACCTTGCATGCATGTAAACCTGTTTTAGGAGACTCATAAAACAATATTAGCAACCTTAAAAATGGCATAATAGGGGCACTTTAAAAATGAAGACAGACATACTGCCCATAATATATAATAACAAGACATCATTCTTTTCTTTTCCCAGGTGCCTCTGTGGTCAAGTTTGACAAACAGTGTAGATCTGACTCCTCCTCAGACAGAGAAGCTTTTGCAATTTTTAAGGAGTGTACCTGGTCAGTTTCATCCAACTTCTCTTAGATCACACCACACACCTCTAAATACAACTAATTTGTGGTCATCTTTTGTTTAGGGTTTGAGCTTTTGGATAGTTCTGACCAGAACACTCTTCTGTCCAGCTCTTCAGTTGAAGTCATGTTCCTACTCTTAGCTCAGCAGTTCTCTGAGAACCCCACTACTGTTAGCACTGGTAATCACATACATTATTACATAATCTGCCTGTTAAGACTGACATCATGTGTCTAGTTCCAAAAGCAACAACAAACAGTGCTAATATAGACTCACAATGTGCTGTACTACTACCAAAAAAATCATGATCCTAATCTTTATATCCGTATTGAAATTTCATTTTTATGAATAGTTAAATAGTTATGAATGTGATTTTTTAACAGCTTAGCTGAATCGTGTGCTATAAATAAATTGTGCTCATAAAGCATCGTTAAAATTGTCAATTGAAACTGAAAACTCAACACATTATAGATCAATAATGACTCACTGCTGTGTTTTCTATCACCAGCTTTATACTCAGCAAATTTGAATAACTCAAACCCTGATTGGGTGAGAACTTCAGAGTCCAAGACTGGGATCAGGACATTGACACACTCAGGTGATCTATAATGAAGAGTGATAATCATAGCAGGAAAGTCTCACATTACATGCAGTGATTAATCCAACTGATATAACTGTATATACGGTCTAAATGTTTTTGTCTCTACTAATATTGTGATTTTGATTTTTGTTAAGGGTTGAATGATGAGTTCTTGAGGTCTGTGGTAAATTTCCTCCACAGCATGGAGACTATTGCGGTAACGGAGGCTGAATATGCACTTCTAACAGCGACTGCAGTGTTATGCTCAGGTCTGTGGATTATGATGAACAAAATTGTGACTAATTTCCATGTGATGTCACAATATTCAGAACACTATATTCAGGTCAGACAGCAAATGACAAAAGTTTAGCTTACAAAATAAAAGTTTTAAAAGTTTTTGGTTCCCCAAAGAACCTTTCAGAACTATTTTTTCTTAGTGTGAAGAACATTTTTCCACTATAAAGATTTATTTATTTTTTTGCAATTGAGAGATTCCATGGATGTTAAAGGTTCTTCATGGAACCATTGACGCTAATAAAAAACCTTTATTATTAAGAGTGTATAGAACCGCTTCAAATGACGGTTTGACGGTTCAAATGATCATTTTTCTTCCCTGTTGTGAAGCAGACAGGCCGTCTCTGCGTGCGGTGGGCTGTGTTGAGAACTTACAGGAGTTTGTTTTGGAGCTCTTGTCCCGAGCTTGCTGCTGCTGTAGTCAGGGGACGGCACAAGACCCGCGACGCTTTGCTAGGCTCCTGGGACGGTTGACAGAGCTGAGAACACTACGACACAACCACCTCACCCTTCTCCCACAGCAACCCTGGGGCATGCAGTCTTGAGACAGCCTTTAGGGAGAAAGATTTATGACATCTGATCTCTGTTGCAATACACTTTTAATTTTTGCCCAGAACAATATCCTAGGTCAGTGTACTTTTGGTTACCCATGTGCAAACATAGTTTAGTTTAATAAAAAAATAAAACCAATGTAAGCTCCATGATGTGATGATTTCTTATATGCACTAAATAAAAATGTTTATTTTGTGTTTTAGTGACTACTTGCTTTTCATTCATGTTGTAATATACATGAATTTGCATTTATTATTCTGTTTATCAATTTTCAGATCCACGTTAATAATAAATATGGGTAACACTTTATTTCGATAGTCCACTTTAGACATTCTATTAACAGTAAGTAACTTTGCAACTACATGTCAACTAGCAGTAAGTAGAGTATTAGTAGACTGTCTGCTTAATATTTTCTAAAACTTTCTTTGTCAACTTATTCTACTTACCCTAAACCTACCCTAACAGTCTACTCTGAGAGTTAGTAGACATGTAGTTGCAAATTAATGAGAATTAGTTGACATGTAGTTACAAAGTTACTTATAGTTAATAGAATGTCTAAAGTGGACTATCGAAATAAAGTGTAACCTAAATATGTAATCATTTTCTTCAGAAGCTTCAAGTCCATTCAGATTTTGAGTGAAGCTTTTTTTTTTTTTTTTTAATGATAATTGTATTACACATTTTTTTAATAGTGCTACAAATTCAGAACCTTTTGGCAAAATTTGTCGTTTTGAATCCAAAATGTAATTTAAGTGATTTGTGTAGAGCATGGTTGTAAGTGTCCAAACATTTACAAAAGATTAATTTATCAACAGAAGACCACCTAATAGTTTCAGCCTTTAATGATATTTTAATTATATAGCATGCTTTGGGTTATGATTCAAAGTAGTATATGATTAAACTAAACTATAGCCTCACAATCATATAACAAAGTGGCAGGATTCTCACTTGTTGCCCCCTTAAAAAATAGGTGCATGACAATTTTCTCACCCTAATTTTAAGGCTGGAAATGACTCTTGGTTGATGTTTCAATTTTACTTTCTCTCCATACCATTTAGACGATACCCTTAAATAGCAAAATCGAACTATATTTCATTTATAATAGCAATGTCTGTCTGATGTTTTGCCCTTAAATTTCATCTGTTAATCAAGCAGGTGTTGGTAATCTGTCATACACAAGCCAGAGTAAGACCTGCAACAGGTTTAATTTCCCTGTAACTACAAATGAAACCGTGATAAAGTGGATGTATCATCATATGAATGTTTAACTTTTCAAATTCCAAACTGAAATGAACTTCAATGGGCTTTGAATGTTACAGAGATGCACAGTAATGGTTTGTCTTTTGCTTAGATTTAATCATCTTCCAGCCATATAAAGGAACATCAAGAACCTTGGAACAATCTAGAAAATAAAATTCATTAACCTCACAAAGTTAAGGGTCTATATTGTTTAGTAAAAACAGGGAAAAGTGCTATTTTTTAAGGTATTGAATACTACACCCATTATTGATAAACTAGATTAAGCATTTTATTGGCTTGCTTACTGTTATTTACCATTTAAAATATTGATTTGTGAGTTCATCAAATTAAAGGCATGACAGTTTATGGATGAATCACTAATAAATCACTGATCACCAGTGCTTTTCACATTGCTAACAGAGACCTGAATGATGTGTGCGTCTGAATTTCCGCTATAAATATTGTTTTAATATGATCTGTGACAAGTGCTGTCACAAAACACATCTGGCTAGAGTAGGCTGACATCACCTTATGGGGAAGAAATCATACTGTACGTGTTCTTCCCATCTATGGTTCTTCCAGCATCAACACCGACTCACTGCTGCCCCCCACAAGTACTCAAGGGTACACTACACAAAGGAAAAAAAACATATAATATTTAAGCAAAACATGAGCAGTACACCAACAAGAATTTTACTAGACAATATATTTTGATTACCTCACTAATGGTCAACGTTTCTGGTGTTATTTAATGAAGCATCTATCTCACGTGACCCCTTACAAAATACACACGCTTGAAACATTTATCCCCTCACAGTACCGTCTTGAAAAAATTAAATGTATCCCAATACTATTGTGAAATGGGAGCATAAAACAATTTCTCACCTTTCATTAATTTTCGCCAGACGCCGTTGGAAACTATTCAGCCTATGACCCCAGCCCTCCTCAAACACGTCAGCCAACCCGATCTCAACAAATCCGAGCGTTCAAGATGATTGACAGATAGAGAGCGTTTCTGATTGACTACTTTTCTAATTGGGCTAAACAAGCGCGGGAGCTCTCCTGAGTGACTCTTTAATCGGTTTATCGTAATAAACAACTTTTTAGTTATATGTGATAGGTAGAGACGCTTTATTAGGTATTCCAATAAATAAAGATATATCTCCTTGAGCACTTATAAGAATATAATATTTTAAAATGTACAATAGTATTCCACCATTTTTATGGTGGCTTCACTTCATCCCTCAATTAACTTTTTAAACATGGAAAATATGATAAGTGCACATCTACTTTATAAAGTTGCTTGTTAGTGTTTACAAATACTCAAAAATGTAAAGTAAAACAATGCATTTATGTCATTCAAACAATTTCAATGATATAAAATTCCCTAAACATGTAATTACAACAAGTAATGCACTGTAATACTGCAACCAGAAAATTACATATATTATTAGGAATTCTAACATTCCAACAGATCTTGAATAAATCTGAAAAAATGCAATACGGTCTACAGTCAAGAAAAACAGCTGATGGTCTTAAAACATCAATATCAAACATAGAAGAGTTTCAATAGAACATTTATTTTCCCACATGAGAAAATACTGTTTGAGACAGGTTATTTGGTGGGTAGCTAAAATCTGCAGTTTGTACAAGCTTAAAATTTCTTATATAAACAGTGAACAAAAGCTCCACAACGTTCTACAATAAATACAAGGTTCTGTGCTTGATGGTGAAAAGGGACCAACAGCAAGTGTACAATATGTAGTCGTCGTCATCATCTCTCTAGCATTTCACCTTGAAATCTTAAAAAGAACTAAACCAGGATCTGAAAGAACATGTGAAGTTAGATCTCAAAAGAATATGCAATAGTTTATCATCTTAAATAAGAGATCTGATTTCCATCTTGAACCAATATAATTTAATTCCTTTTTCTCTTTACGGTCCATAAATAAATTACTTTTTTGTATCAAAAATGAGAATATATATTTAACCATAGACAACTGTGAGTTGGTACATATACACATACATACACGATCGTATGTCGGTAATGTACATATATATGAACACACTCACACCATCTGATATCAAAGACAAGCAGGATACACTATATAGGAAGTCAGTTCATCTGAAAATCTTTTTACACGTATATACACAACCTTCATTTCTTCGTTCCTCCAGGTAATTTATTTCACAATAAACAAGAGAAGAAAAAATTTAATGAGATACTATATGATAAAAAACATACTTATATACACAAGGTGTCTTTACAATATACAAGTGGTTTGTTAAACTTTAAAAAGTAAAAAGCTATCTTAAGAAAATGGCAGTGATTCATTCAAACGTTTATATTCTTTAAGTTCATTCATTTAAAATTAATTTTTCAGAAATTAATTGCTCCGAATGTACCCAAATGCTAAAACTGTGTGGTTTAGACTCGTCATCACCATAAAGTGACACCTCATAAAAACAAATCATTGATAGAAACCGCTGCCCTTTCATGACCCCTGTCCTGTCGCGGAGAAAGAAAAAACTGGACTGAATCTGAAATGACTGAGAGGGCTGTGACCTGAACACATGGATAAACTAAACTGAACTGAATGATCAGGAGTCTAGTACCTGGTGCACTAACCAAATGGCTTTCAGCCCATGTGAGTGGGAAGTTAGGACAGATGCGGTTGGCGTTTGTCTTCTACATGAAGTTGGAGCCGACGAAACCATTATCTCCTCGAACTCGGCTCAGGTGGATCATAGCTCGGTCGTAGGCCACCTGCACAGACTTCCGGATGCTGGTCTTCTTGCCCTCCATCATACGCAGTTTATCGGCCGTGTCGTCAACGCCAAGAGGGATCACCTTGTCTCGTGAAAGCCACTGCCTGCAAAGACAGACATAAGAAGAAGGGAAAAAAAAAAATATTCAGCAACAGTTCCTTCTGAATCCATTAAAGCCCACGGATACTTACAATGGATATTGGAAAATGCAAAGTCTGGAGGATAAAACTAAAGTAAAACAAAGTTAATCTCCGATGCTGTGCTCACCAGGTGCGTTTGTTGTCGAAGAAGAGAACCAGGAAGAGTTTCTCGCCGGCTTCTTCCTGTCTCTGCTCACCAAGCAGTTCCTTCTGAATCCATTAAAGCCCACGGATACTTACAATGGATATTGGAAAATGCAAAGTCTGGAGGATAAAACTAAAGTAAAACAAAGTTAATCTCCGATGCTGTGCTCACCAGGTGCGTTTGTTGTCGAAGAAGAGAACCAGGAAGAGTTTCTCGCCGGCTTCTTCCTGTCTCTGCTCACCAAGGTGCAGCACGTCAAGCGGAGGCACAGGGATGGGAACTCCATTATGCAGAAGACCCTCCTGAGGCATGTCTGGATCTATGATCTACAAAATAAGAGCAATTCAAACCATTCATTTAACCTTTGAATGTCAGTGGTTTGCTTTAACACTATTCACAACCCAAAAAACAAAAGCTATTTGGTGAGAAGAAATATAGGGCTCGTGAAAAGTTGAGAAGGAGTTTGGATTAGTAATGCTATCCAAAAAGAAAATATGTCACAGAAGTGAAGCAAATTATGATACAATTTTGAAATAACACGGACTAACACAGGTTTTTTCCAAACTGGGGTGTGTGAGTCAACAAAAAGTGGTAATAATTAAATAATAAAAATGCAACATTAAAATTACTTATTTTAATAAAATAAAAATATTCAAAATATAATAATAAACGCAGTCAAAAAATTTTTTTTATTTGGTTATGGAACTGCAGGGGGTTTATGAGTTGATGAAATGCTAATAATTAATTAAATCCTAAAAATGTGAAATTATATATTTTTTAATATTATACTTATTTTACTAAAATAACATTTTAATAACAATCAAAATAACCAAAATATAATAAATAATAAAAGCAATGAAAAAAATAAAATACTTGATTTGTTTAGCAGTGAAGTGAGTTGATGAAACTCTACATTAAATCATAATTATATCATAAAAATATAAAGGTACAATCACTTATTTCAATTAAAACAAATCAAAATATAATAAATAATAGCAATCAAAATAAAACACTAATGAAATGGTTTACCTGCATGCCATGTGACCATTAACTAGAGAAATGTGAATATGAATGTGTTGTTAAATGACTGCCATTATTACAATACTGAAATGTTAACTTCTCAGAGGTGTTTTAGGTCAAAGGGGTTCGACTGACAAAAAAAATGCTTGATAATCCCTGGACTGAGGCATTAATGATGTAAAGGAAATGTGCATTAATGATGTAAACATGGTCACTTTTGATGTCAGGCTATATATAGATAAAATTCTCAAACATAAAACTTTCTTTTTTTAAAGATGTTTACTGGTATGTGTAACTCAAAATAATCGAATCAATGTGTTGTATGCATGTCGTTTGAATGTAGAGCGCCCTCTCTCACCAGAGCAGGGTAGGACGGATATCCTCTACTTTTTGCCCACACCAAATCCAGAGGTTCAGGTTCAGGCGCATCCCCATTTGACAGAGCATCTGCATAGAACGAGGATTGTAGTATCCACTTGTGCACTCAAAAAAAAAATATATATATATTGACATTTCTTTGGGATTAATTTCTTACCAGTCCCAGTGTAGTCAAAGTCTCCGTTAACAGTTTCTAAGAAAGGTACTTTGGACAAAGCAGGTTTCCCTCGGCTCTTTTTTGGAGTTGAGACACTGAAAGCAACAGAAATGATGAGTTAACCGTGCATATGAGCTATATGATGCAGAGAGGTTTCAGTCATTCATTTTTCCTCTTACAGTTCTCTGAGAATCGGAGATGAGCTGCATTCTGAGTCAGAGCCGCCATCTCTGTGCTTTCTGAATCCGTTGGTAAGAGCTAAAAAAAAATATTGAGAAAAGGGTGTTCGAAAAAGGTTTCATTAGTAAAAAGTATTATCCATACCACAATTTCAGTTGTCATGAAAAACTATTTTGTCCATGCTTTGCAAATTGTAAATCCCCTCCAAGGCCTTCACTCATTCATGGAAAATATGATACAAAAGTGAGTTTGTAATGGTTATGATGTCAAACCATAAGCATATTTTCATATTGTTTAAGGTCATATAAATATTAAATTTATAAAGGTGAAAGAAACTGAACTTGAGAAGTAAAAAAAAAAAATAGATGAAAAAGTCAGACTAATGTGTCATTTACAGTGGTGATAGCAGTTATTTTACAAGTAAATAAGTCAAGGTTACAATTAAAAGCTTGTTAGTTAAACATTAGAAAATGAAGAAATAAGAACATAATATTAGTATTGTAATTTTACAGCTGGACAGCATTTTTCCCCCTAAATACTTGTAGAATATACTTGTACAATAGCAATATTTCTTATTTTGTTTAATATTTTGAAGTAATAATAAAAATTATTATTTTACATAATGAAATGTAATCACATTGTTTTGCCAAATTGTGCAAACCAGGAGCTTTCACCAAAACAATTTTTAATCAGGAAAAACCCAAAATCGTGCAGCCCTTTAAGTAAACATATCACAAAATCAGTAAAGTAATGCATCATGTAAAGCAATTGTTTTCTTTACCAGGCTCTAGAATCAGTCGAGGGGGCGTTCTCTCGTGCTCTGGACTACAGCTGCGGCTTCTTGCTCTCTGTTTGGCCGGGGTTGATATGGGCGAAGGTGTTGAAGGTTTTGGCTGGGCTGAAGTTTCAGTCTTGACGTTGGCTGTGCAGTTAGGTGTGCGTGCAGGGTCTGGGCCAGTGCTGACGGCCTCCTCCCTGCTTCTGTTCTGCATCTGATTGTCTCGCTCACGCTGGAGCTTTGCTCCATTTTTTGCTTTTTTAAAGAGGACGGACGTTCGCCGCCCAACCCCTCCTGTGGCAGGCCGGGTCGGTGACTCTGTGGAGGAGAGGCCATTGATCAGTTTATTCTCGGGCAGGCGGTCCTCAGGTTTCGTGCAGCTGTTCACAGGTGCAGTGTCTGAATTGGCCTCTTGGCTCTCGCTGTTGAGTTTGAGGCGCTTAGGTGTGCATGGGGACATCCTGGGGTCGGACGTCATGGGTCGGAGGGTCGGTGGTTCCTGGTGGGTGTCTGCTGGTGGAGGGGACAAAGCCAGGCTTGTGGGTTCCAGCATGGGTGGGGGAGTTGACTTACAGTCATCTAGATGAAGAGGAACAACCAGATGTTACAAAAATCAGATTGCCATTGTTGGATGAGAAATCAAAAATTTTGCAGAAGGGATGGAATTAAACAACTCTGGTTCTGATTCCACTTTACAATTCCTAACTACACTTAAGTACACATTAAAGTTAATTTTGAGTTAGACATGACGAATGAAACAACTTGCGATTCATGAGTAAAGGCCTGTTCACACCAAGGACGGTAACTATAACGATAAAGATATAGTTTTAAAAATCATTCTAAATTCAAAAGAAAAGCAGAGTCCTCATCACAACTATAACAATAACAGCGCAGAGGAACGATATCTTTCGAATAACTTTCAAAACGATTTTTTTTCCAGCTAATGAACGATAAACAGCAAATCAGAATTGCATCCTGTTTCATATAGCCCCAGCATTTAAAGTGGCAGAGCAACAAAACTGCACCGCATACTTATAATAAACAAAGTTATTGTGCATAGGTGTGGACCAAGCGGCAACCTCCCCCTCTCTCTCTCTCTCGTGAAGCCAACGAGGAAGTGACTTAAACTGTAATTCATTGACTGGCCGCTAGAGGCTGGCTGCAAAAGGGAGTCAATCCCATAGACTCCCCATGTTAAAATGCCCAACTTTACAGCAGAAAAAAAACATGTTTACAGCCTGGTTCAAAAAATGATTTTGGTTTATATAGCTAATTTTGCCCTTCATGACAATATGTGAGGGGGGGTGAATTTTTTTATAAGTCATCCGTTTAAATTATATTAAGCCTTAAAGTTCTGCATAATTAAGGGCGTGGCCACTTGAGTGACAGGTGGATTGCCGCTGCTGTCACCACCGTCGAGCTAGGTGGGCGTGGTTTCAGCTCTCGCCTTTTTGCCCATTTTCGATTATCCGGGAGTGACGCGCGGTGACGTGCTGCCAAGATGGCGACGGCTGGCTCTGCCCACTTTGAGCTTCAAAAACCTCTTCAGGAACCTACGGGTGACGTCACGGACACTACGTCCATGTTTTTATACAGTCTATGGTGTGGACGCTAATAAAGTTATTGTTATAGTTAAAGTTTTTGGTGTGAACAGGCTTTAAGTCAAGAACAGTTTAGAGTGAGTAAAAGATTAATTAGAACTACTGGTTTGAATCAGAGTTCAAGACTGGTTTGTGACTTTTTTTGATCAATTTATAAAAGTCGAGATGTTACGGTAGTAGTATGTGATAGAACCATATATGTGACCAGAGAGAATAGTTAGGTTATTTTAATGAAAAATTACAAGGTCAAATTTATTTATTTATTTTTTAAAGAAACATATGCATTGATGAATCGTTTACAATAGGATCAACAAAATGCATTTAGAAAATGTTGAATTTACATTTCATGCAGACTTTAAAAAGAATGCAGACTTTCAAATACCGTTAACAGAACTGCATGTCATGAAAAAACTTTTGGTCTGATCTGGAATATTAACTGAAAAAAATGGAATTCTGAATTCCTGTTTCTTGATTCCCAACCATAGTCAAGTCTCACCTTTATCTGACGATGATGATAACAGGTTATGTTCACCATCCATCTCTTTGTCTTCATCCTCCTCCTCTTCTTCTTTGAGGTCTCCATTGAGCATGTGTGAGTTGCGCGCTTGCTGTTTATAGCGGATGTTGTTGATTTCTCGCCGGAGCAGGCGTATACGGCGTGTGCGTGCACCGCTCGAGCGCATGGACGTCACCACATCTAATTTGTCTAGCAGCTCCCTCAACTGGTTTTCCGTTGTCATGTGCAATCGATTATCAGGGTCTAGCAGCGTGTCGACTACACACAAAACAAAACCAACCATTATTAACAAAGAATAAAAGGTAAACATAATGCTATTTGCCTTTTTAGAAAAATAACTTTAAAGCACTGATCTATATAATGATATAATATATATGATATCTCTATAATGTTCTCTATTATAGATCAGTGGTTTAGTCATGTTGCTACGATAAAATGTAAAATTTTTCTAGAATTTTTTCTGACCAAACTAGAAGAAACTGTGCCATTGCTATGCTATTCTGAGCGTTCCTTAGTACATTTACATTTAGTAATTTAGCACTCTTTTATCCAAAGCGACTTACAAATGAGGACAATAGAAGCAATAAAACCAACAAAAGAGCAATAATATGCTTTAAAAAGGCACAATATGTACGATTTTTTTATTAAAATATCCAAAAACCACTAGATCAGTGTTATATATTTTGCTGGCTTGTGTATTTATGGCTCGTTTCCACTGAGCGGTATGGTTCGGTACAGTACAGTACGCAATTATTTCCGTTTCCACTGTCAGAAGTTGTGAATGGTACCAAAATAGCGAACCGTACCGTACCACTTTTTTGGTACCCTTCCGTTGGGGTACCTAGCACAGCAAAGGGTACCAAAAGGGTGGAGCTAAACTCACCGCAGAACATTGATTGGTTGACTAGAATCGTCACTTTTGCGTGATACAAGGGGATAAAGCTTCTCCTTCACTCGTTCCGCTCTGCTGTCCATGTGTGTTGGGCTTATTTACATCAGAGTGCGCAAACACAAAAAAATATAACCGTGTATTTTTTATAATTTTATATTTTCACAAAGACAATAGCCGTTTCTCAATATGCGTTCTTGTCTGTACTTGTGAAACGTCATTGCCCAAACACCCGCGTAGTTTTCTAAATATAACTGTTATTGTGTCATGAAATTTAGTTTTAAGAGTTTTTCAGGAGAAAATGTAATGGTTTAAAACTCAAATCTGCGGTTTATTTATAAAGATAGCGCCTATTTGAAAACTTGCTATGCCGATTTCGGAGCTCCATGCGATCACCGGGCGCTCAGTGCTCATGTATCCGCCGAGAGCAGCCTTAGCCCGGCTAGTCCTTCTTGACATTTGCCGCTGGCTTTGATGTCTCTGTAGTGATTAAACATGAGATACAATTCGTTTTGGGTTGGCTATATTTAACAGGCATTCGTGGTCTCATGAATCTATTATTTGTTCCTGGTCATATCGTTTTGGCGGAGCACAAAGTTATGTTTAACTTTATATATTTAATTTGAACTTTACCGTAGTACAGCGCTGACTTTGTAGCATATGTTTGACTGAACTGTTTGCTTTTGTCTTTATTTCCTCTCATATAAGCCTCTTATACTTTGTACTTATACTTTTATAATGGCTATTATTGTTAATTAAAACTGACATTTAACAAAAAGAGGCAGAGTTGGGCTTATTGTCGCGGTTCATCGTCGATCGCTACTTTCCGGCATACACCACGCCTACCAAGTAAGGGTATTATTGGCAGTGGAAACGCAAGCCTGATCAGGGTTACCCGTACCGAATCGTACTATACTGAACTGTACTGTACCATACCGCTCAGTGGAAACGAGCCATTACATTATCCCAAATGTTTAGAAGAATGTTTAAAGTCCCCCTGTAGTGAAAATCAAGTTTTTTATGTTGTTTATTTGTCTATGTGGTGTTTTTAATATGCTTTTAGACAAACCATGTGCCAATCTATTAATCAACACCATTGATGAGAGCAAAAAACCCATGAAGCTGTGGTTTAATGTGAATTTAGAACCGCTAACTTGCATTATAACCCGTGGCAAGAGTGTAAAAGTAGCCCGGAGTCAAACCCACCTCTCCCGCATTGGCGTCTGTACTTCACACGCGCGCATGCTCGTGGGCGCGAATTAAGAATCACAAACGGCTGCATTAGAGTCTTCAAGGCATTTTAGGACACAACATCGTCAAGTAAGTAACTTTAACGAATGTTACAGTATGTCCGCTAGTAAAAACAGTTTTATCAGTCATTATCCGTGCATGCCATTGTTTTACGTTTACTACAGTTCAGTGGATCAGGAGGCGCCTTCGACGGCTTTCAGCCTCACCCTGCTTCATTCTACTACGTTAATAAATCATTAGCTCATCCATGAACATGATTTCTGCCCGAGTCCCGTCGGATTGCATCGGCTGTGGGGATGAAGACGACTCCCATGATTCCACACTCAGTCACGGTGTCATCAAACTATGCCTTTGCCTCTTTGTTTATTTTGAATACGCACCCTCTAGCGGCGAAAATTACATACTGTGCCTTTAATTAGTAGTCCAAGTCAAGAAATCCCACCTAATTGTATGAACTTTACCACTGCCAACAAGTAACTGTTTGTATCGACTTTTATGTGATTTTTTTGTTAACTACTCACCATCTTCCAAAGTGCAGCGGTAGTAGTTGTTTTTGTGCGGTGATTCTGCCAGGTGCATGCCCGTGTCCAGGTCGAAGCCTGTGTTTTGGGCTTGTCTCTGAGAGTGCCTCAGGATAGCGCCTCCTAGGTCCCTCAGGCGTATTGCAGCTTGGTAAAACACAGTGTCTTTAGCATTATAAAGCAGGCAGTTGGAGATCATGAGGTTGAAATCAGCCTCAAGGTCAGTGATGGAGCGATATTTGTGAGCCTCCAATTTGGATTTTATGGTGGAGAAGTCCATGGGGTGTGTGATAAACTCCAGATAATCTGGGACCTGAGAACCCAAGAGCACAATTTCTGTTTAAGGCTTGAATCTTCAAAATGAAGATATTAGGATTTTTATATGAGAGTAGATTTGCATTTTATAAATATTTTGAAGATGCTGTATAATGGCAAACATGCAAGACCTGTGCCACATGTTAGCCTAATCGATCATGACTTGACATTTACACTACTAGCCAAGTCAAAGCTCAAGAAATGAAAGAAAGTCCAATTTTACATGCAATATTTGCCAAATCAAGTCATAGCCTGACTCTTATTACACTGCAGCGTAACTGCAACAGCAGGCTTGTGTACTTTCACAATGACAGCATTTCTGCAGCACAATAGAGCTTCAGCTCTATACAGAAAACAGTTCAGGGTTATCAAATTGAGTATTCTCTTTGATAACAGTTATAAATTATGAAATGGTTATTGGGAGCGAGCAATTGAAAAGCAGTTTTCAAAACCAATTGAGAACTAGTACAAACTTGATCCTCACAAATTCTAATTTTCATGAGGAGGGGCATCATATTTACAGCTGAAAGAATTTACATGAAACAAATTGTAGATATGAACTGCTTATTCTTCTGGATTTAGTGAGATTCATTAAAAAGAAAGTGTTTGTGCTGCTTGCACCGAGCCAGACAGGCATCTCTTTTCTTTCAATTGTTTACTTCAGTGTTTTATGTTGCTTCATAAAAGACTATATTGCATTGATCTTGTTTATTATTAGTTTAATGGTGCATTTTGAATTCAGCTTGCTACATGGGGCAAAAATAGGTTCAGCACATGTGTTTTATGCTGGAGGCTGTAAATATGAGTGCAGAAATAACTATAGACTGCTTAGTGTCAAACAGACTTTAAAAACCAAGACTCGGGTTCAACCGGAGTCCACATTTCTGGTTGTCATCATTTATTCAAGATAACTTCATTGACTTTATTATGTACGAATACACAGTAATCATATGTAACGTTTCAGTATGTTACCTGCTCTCTCTTTAGTTTCTCTCTCTTGCGGATGAGCTCGATCAGGAGTCGCGCTCGCTCCAGATCGTGACGAAGCTTCTTCCAGTATTTCAGCTCTTCTCTCACAGCATTCAGCTTTTCATCTGGCTCCGCCTACACAGAGTTTATAACATGGACACAACCCATGATACTGTAGTTGTGTGTAAGGGGTGTGGACTATGTCTACAAAATGAATATATGCATAAACACTGACCTGTTCTGCACTCCTATGGCCCTGCAGATGTGAATGTAAACGACGAATGAGAGGCACTCCATTGCGTGACTGACGCTTAAGTAACCAATAGTTGTGAAGTCTCTGCATGAACTGATTCTTCTTCTGTATGATCACATCTTTAGACATTTTGTTCAATCTGTAAAAAACACCAGCAAAATAATGACATAAACAATAAGCTTTACTTAAACTTTTACATACTACCGTTCAGCATTTATTTGATCAAAAATACGATCTTTTGTAACACTACACACTACTGTTTGGGGTCAGTACATTTATCACAGGTCCCAAAAAAAATATTAAGCAGCACAAATGTTACATTGATAATGTTACACATTGATAATAAATTAGCATATTAGAATGATTTCTGAAGGATCATGTGACACTGAAGACTGGAGTAATGATGCTGAAAATACAGCTTTGCCATCACAGGAATAAATTATATTTTAAAATATATTAAAATAGAAAACCAATATTTTAAATTGTAATAATATTTCACAATATTACTGTTTTTACTGTATTTCTGATCAAATAAATGCAGCCTTATTGAGCATAAGAGACTTCTTTAAAAAGTAATATATTTAATAATAATAATAATAATGTGTGTATGTATATATAACATTTTAATTAAATATTACATACAATATTATATATTTTATAATATACAATGTATTTACCTGTGAGTAGGTATTTCTGGAACAGTGACCAATGGTGTTGCGACTTTTTTCGACACCTCTTCTTTCTTTCCTTTCTTTTGCTTAGAATCCAGTTTATTGCTTCGTCTCTGCTTTTTAAGCTGTGGCGTCTGCGTGTAGGCACTGCGACCCCTATTAGCCCGACACCCCAAAACCCTCCCCCCGGTCTCATCATCCGACCCGTCCTTCGCAGGCGGTGAATGCGCCTCACAAAACGCAGTCTTTTTCACCGAAAACGTAGTCCCATTCACAGTAGTCTCTCTGACCGGCTCTATTTTCATAAAGAGTCCAGCTCTCTGCGCACAGGTTACATGGAAGGCTGTGTAGCAGTTGGCCTTGTGGCACTGAATGGACGCCCCGCAACCTTTCTGCTTGCACAGGTAGCATGTTAGCTTCCACCTAGCTGGTGGAATGTTGTCCACGCCCTCAATGGGCTCAAGGAAAACCGTGTTGGCGAAACATACCTCTGGGATCCAAATAGCGCAGACCACATGTGCCCATCGCCCGTCGCTGGTCTGTTTAAACGCTCCGCCCCGATTCGGGCAAAGCACGCAGTCCACAGGGCGAGAGGGTGACTGCAGGCAACAGCGGCAGAGCCACTGGCCCTCAGGGATGTAGGGAACGCCGTAACACTCCTGGTGCACAGCCAGGTTGCAGATGTCACAAAACAGGATAACGTTACTGTTGAGACATTCGTCGTCGAGGCAGACGCAGCAGAAGGCGTCTTCATCGATGATGCTCTGTGAGGGCGCATGGCTTCGCGACTCTAAGAACGACTCTTTTTCTAGACGATCTATCAGGAGTTCGAAAGTGTCGGGACACACTTGCGGATGGCCTTCCGACGCTCGTCTTTCGTTCACCAGCTCCAGCCAGGCCAAGTCCTCCTCGTCCATGTCATACTCCGCATCCGTTTCCATCTCTTCACTGGACTTCTCAATGTAACGGTAGTATGCCGAAGGGCGAGGAGATGCCTCAACCGGTTCATAAGACTCTTGTTCTCTGAAAGTAGGCTTGGGTAAGGTGCCGTGGTGGCTGTTCACATTAGAATGCATCGGAGTTTGTCCGTGAGAGTTGGAGCAGTGGTTTTGTGATGACGATGACGACAACTGCTTCACATCTTTCTTTTTCCCCCTGTGGGCCGTCGATCGGCGCGGCGAGCTGACGACGGCGGTCACCGATGACTGCTCGCTGTTCTCCTTGTTGCTGTTGCACTCGGCAATGTCCTGAGCTGTCATCTCATCCTCAGTGATCACCAACAAGGGGTCAAAGATGCTGATCCGATGCAATCTTCCATCCAGGTCCACTTCCACAATCTTCTGAGCCTGGGCGTACGTTAGGGTTTCTCTGGTGGGTGAAACCTTCAGCCGGTAGGGAGAGAGCGAGCGTGGCTGTGATGCCCCCCTACCTGCTGTACCCGTGTACGCGGCATCACTTTGGGCCCCGGGCAGGCCTCCCCTCCGTTGTGGTTTTCTCATGGGGACTCACACCACGCTGCCCCTTTGTACCTCGACCTGTGTGGACAAAAGAGAAAAAGAACAAGCATAAGAATCCTAATTCATTTACAAAACACAAAGATACCAATGTGCAATTAGCAGTCAATGTCTGGCCAAACAGTCAACACGAAGACGTTTTCACTTCACCCATGGTCGACTGAGTCATGTATGTGTAATACTGTGCATACTCTCATTTCCTGGAAGTGCTCACAACCCACATCATGACATGTTGATGAGCGTTTTTAAACTTTTTATTTTTCATTTTATACATGGCTTTAAACACTGTAGTGTTTTGCATAAATGTAAAAAATAAAATTAAATAAAAAGGCTATTAGGCATTATATTATTACTGTTAAATGTAATATTGATTGATGTGCAACTTCACCCCTTTTATTTTATACCACCTTTATATTATTTTTTACTTATTTTATTGTTCGCACTACTTAAAAATAGTAAAACTTGTGTTCATTACATAACTATAATGTCTATTTACATAATAGAATAATGTTTACGAATTCAAATTAACATTACAAAATCTATTATTATACTCTGCCACCTTTTTACATCGTTTATTGTTTGTATAATTTAACCAGTGACTTGTTGCTTGTTAAAGACATAAAATCATAATAAAAATAAAGTTTTTTTTTTTTTAGAAATGATAAAAATAGTTCCATAATAGAATAAACAATACTACATAAAAATTAAACGAAATACCCAAATTGACCAAGTATACAGCAGAGCACATATATTCAATTCCCCAAAACAGTAACGTTTATACAACTCGTATACTTCAAGTCAATTCGAACGTCAACTATCAGGCGAGATAAATATAGGCCTACAAGTACAAATCCATACTTTCCAATATGAAATTAGTGTATTGGTATGTAAATGTATCCATTGCTAGTTTAGTTTATTACGACATTCGATTACACAAATTCATTGGACGGATTAAGTTCAGGCCGGTCGCCAAATTACAGTGTTTTTATTTTTGCTGTCTAATGGGCGGGACTTTTCATCTCAAGGCCTCACGCAGTTCGCCCTCTTACTGCCACTTTGATAAAGAATATCTCTTTGGTTTTGAGACTTTAGTCTTTGCAACTTCAGGGATCTTATCTATGCACAATAAGCTTGTAACACTCCAAAGAGAAAGGAAAACTTGAAATCGCATCATATGACCCCTTTAAGTCAGTAACAGTGTCCATTATGTATTCCCAACAATTCTTTATAGTTTTTTTTATACTACTTTTATTAAGACTATATATATATATATATATATATATACACACACACAACCATTTAAAAGTTCAGGGTCAGTGAGACCGCAATTAATTTTTTAAGGATACTCTGACAAATAGAAAGTTCAGAAGAACAGCATTTATTCAAAATACCAATATTTTGCAACATTATAAATGTCTTTACTGTATTTGGTCAATTTAATGCATCCTTGTTGAATAAAACTATTAATTTCTTTCTTTCAAAAAAAAAAAAAAACTTACACTAAACTTTTTAACAGTATACTGATTGTGAGATACTTAAACTTTAAGACCCACAAAACTAAAACACATGAAACTGTATATGGCTGTCCTTTTATAGAGCATTTTTAATCTGATAGCACTTAGGGGATAGTTTACTAAAAAACAAAAAAGTCTGTCATCATTTATTCACCCTCATGTTATTTGAAATAGTTTTTTTTTTTTTGTGAAAAGCTACCATACTGCTTTAGATGACTTTGAATATAGCCCACAAGTTGTTTGACATGGCACAGGGATGGAATAAATTCTAAATAAATGGTGTGAGGGTGAGCAAATTATCCCATAAACACATTTTATTACACCAAATACACAAAATAATGTTCTTTTTAGCAGCATCATATGACCCCTTTAAGGTGCTATGCACACTGGTGATAAATGTAGGACATTTACCACTAAATCAAAATAAAATGTCCAGATGTACCACACATTCCTCAAGCAGTCAGTTATTCTACAAAATACTGCTATTCAGATACTTTTTTTTAGGAGTAAATAAACATTCTAAATTGTTCCGAGGCAGAGACTAAATCGCATATTTGCAATACAGTACGCCGATAATGTCAGACCCCCATCTCTAGGACATTGTGAGTGTGTTTCTTCTCTTCGAGTCTCTTCTCGGGAAAGGAACAAAGCTTCTCACTTCTTTAAACGATAAACCTGTGATGAAAAAATGATCACGGTGCATTTACATACACAATATGTGCAAATATAAAGTACAGCAGGCAGAACTCTATGTGTAAAATCTGTTGCTCACGTTTCCACTCTTCTAAGGGCAATGTGGCGTTGTCGTAGCTGTCATCGTATGGTGTGGGCTTTGGGCAGTCCTCTGGGTCCCTCAGGACATCAAAATAACTGTGTGCCAACGTACCATCAGCAGTGAGACGAGCATCAGCATCTAACACCAGCATCTTCTCAAGCAGATCTACCGCTGGGGTTAGTTACCAGTGTGTCAGAAACAAAGCCACAGCATTAGAATAGCAAAAGCTGATATATGTATTATTATTTGAATATTATTTGTATTAGTACAGGGCAAGCTGAGCTATTTTTGACAATATTATAAAGTTATTTAATTATTTATTAGCACTAGTTGAGTTGATTTATGTTGGTCAAGGTAGCAGAATATGGCACTATAAAATTTCTCGAATTTTAAAACATGTGAGTGGACTTATAGACATTGTAATCTGAAAAATATAAATATATGTTTATTTGAAGTGCTTTCTCCAGTTGCGGAAATTTAATTTTTATATTCTAAAAATGCAATTCTAGAAATTGTAGGGCAGGGTTATTAGTTAACTACAACTAAAACCATACAATTTTTAATTACTTCAAGTTAAATAAATGTTAACTGAAATAAAATCTAAAAGAAGTTAAACGTATTTTATTTCAGCCAGTTGCCAAAACAGCATTTCTCATTTTCATTTAGCTCAACTTGAACTAAAACTGAAATAAAAATAATAAAAAAGTATATACAAATATAAAAAAAACTCACAACAAAATGACTAAAACTTTATTTAAAATTAAAATGTAAAATATACAAATACTAAATAATTCAAAATATTCATAAAAACTATATGATGGTAAAATAACACTATTTGTAGGGTAACACCTTACAGTAAATTTCATTTAGTTAATGCAAGTTAATGCATTAGCTATTTTACAGCATTAGTCTAGGGTTAATGTTAATTTATAAATTCCATTTGTACAGCTTGAAATGTTAAAAATGTATTAGTATATATATAGAAATGAAAATTTAACATATATTATTAAATGCTGTAAACATGCATTAACTAATGTTATCTAACTGAACCTTTATTGTAAAGTGTTACCAATTCTAGAAATAACTGCAGTTAACAAAGTTTGTTACAGAAAACTAACTTTGAATAATAATGTCATTAAAATTTTTGGCTGACATTCAATAATTTTGGGAATCCTATTAAATTCCAAGTTGCAATATATAACTAATCTAGAAGTTTCCTCTGCAGTGCAATAGTACAGAATATGTGTGCTAATACCTTCTGTTGACATTCTACCTGACGTTTGGTGAAAAATGTAAAAACTTACTTAAATTGTTCTGTTGCATTTGCTCAGCATCTTGTCATTTTTGTCAGAAATAATGGCACGTCACATTGACAGGCAGCAACTATGCTGTCAAACTAAATCACAAGTTTTACAATGAAAAAAGTCTCTTGCCTAAGCAAGAAATGTGACAACGTGACAAAGGAGTCATTTTTCATTGGCATATTACTTACCTTTTTTACTGGCTCTGGGAAACAATATCGAGAAGTCTTTGCGTGGGTAGCAGGGCAGGGATCTGACATAGCTCTTTGCCTATTTAACAGCAATGAAGATGGTGACATTGATCGAGATCAGGAATGACAGCTGAGCACAGTAGCTACAGCAACTGTCACGCAAAATGTTAATAATTCAAGTTGAATTTTTTCCACAAAATATTCAAGACCCTTTTCTCAATCTTATTTTGCATTGCATTAGAGATCAGCGATCAGTCTCAGGTTTAATCAAGATTCAGACATAGCATGTATTAAAGGTGCCATAGAATGCATTGATACAATATTTTAAATTGTTCTCTGATATCTACATAGAAGGTATGTGGCTCAGGTAAGGGCAAAAAATCTCCAGAAACGGTTTTACATGTCCATTTACAACCCTAGGATTTGTCCCTAGAATGAAATGGTCTGTTTTTACCTTATTTGGAAGGGTCATGAATAATAATGTTGAGCTCTGCTCTGATTGGCTGTTTCACAGTGCAGCTCAAAGTTGAGCTCTGCTCTGATTGGCTGTTTCACAGTGCTGCTCATTTCAGTAGCTCACACAGCAGGAAGGAAACACAGGTAAAATATATATATTTCAATACTGTCTCTCGCAGTTATATCGGGTAATTATACTGTATATAAAATGCGGGCATCAGGGAGCTGCTATTAATATGCGGGGCATTTAAACTGCTTTTGAATGCACGATCGCTTTACTTTCACTTTCGAGATTTGCGATCGCACATGCTCTGTGTAAACTAGAGCGGCAGTACTTACCACACATTTTACAAGATCAGATGCTTGTCAGTGGTGCTCAGGATCTGTAAATCATTCCATCATCCTCAGTCATCTCTCCTTACTCTGTTCATGTGGTAAGCGAAATCTTATGTATTGTAATGTAACAGGCTACCGCTAGCAAGCAGCTAACATGTCCCTATAGTGGCTCGCGTTATTTGTTTTCCGTGCCTTTCTGAATACAGACACCAACCCATCCCTGCACATCACATCCCCTGCACAGCCTGGAACATAACATTTATTTCCATGATCTGCCATTTTCGCCATTATCCTCGCTTGTTTCTTCACAATACCTGCAGAACTTCTGATGATTCGGCTGTGCAGGTTCGGCTGGCGGCTGGCATAGAACATGGGCGGGTATATGCAAATGTTGGGGGCGTAACTATTAGTGATCCCGACTGTAACGTCACAGTTGGTGTTAT